GTACGTGTACAATTATTTCCTTAGCTGGCGGCCCCACATTTCGCTGTCACCACTAGTACAAACGAAATCGCTACTATTAAGTGCCTTCCTCGATTCAAGTTCCTCCTGACGAACGATCCACAGAATGTATGAAACTTTACAGGTGACGTGAACATTCCATCAATTCAAGAAACCTACCTCCTCATCTGCTACACTTCTACTTAAACAGTTCTCATTTTGTCTTGACGCTGATAGTCTTTTACACCTAAGTTTTGATTCGGTTCACACTAAAGGGTCTAATAATCAACGTTCGTCCTTGGGGGAGCTCGCTGACGGTGCAGATCTTCCTAGAGCCGGAATATGAACTCGATACGCCTCCCGTGTAGGGTTAACATGTAACCACTGATCCACTGATCCATATAAGGCGAATATTTAAGTCAGGAAAAACTATCATGTTGGCACTCGAAGCTTACTTGGGTCTCAGTCTGTTCGAGAATAACCATCATTTTGGAACTCTGCTAGGAGTGTCACTCAAGCCCAGCGCTTCCGGCTTTATTATGCGCCAAAATAAATGATCACGCCATAAAGGGAGAAGAACTAATTAAACGGAGATCGTGCAGATGCCACAAAACTATTCATAAGACCGACGTTCGTCTGTGCTGTGCTTCCATTGATGGCGTCTTTTCGGTCGTTTCAATCAGTCATCCAACATTCACTAAAAATAGTCAATCAGTCCAAAAAAAGCATATGAAAGTGCCCCAACAAGCTGTACTGCAGCCACCAAGGGAAAGCTTCGGTGAAACAGAGATTACGAAGTGTAGCAGTACACCACACTTCTTAGTTGTATCTCTTGCACCCAGTGCATTTTGACTTAGCTTATTCCCAAGCTTTGAGCTGACCAGTCGGCTGAATGGATCGCTTTGAACGAGATTCTTTTTTATTGGATGGATTATGCACACCGTAGTTTGCCGTGGCTGTTCTAGAACCACAAAAGGCATCTAGAAAACCTAACATTTTTTCCCGCGCACTCACAAGATGGAGTAATTTGTATTTTCTATCGAGGATATTTTTCGGTCCATAAGACCAAGTATGCTTTCCTCTGACAAAGAAAGATAATGAAATCATTTGCCAAGAAGGTAACGTTCTGTAAGTTAATTTGTCGTTATCATTCCCTCTTACGGATCGCTTGGATTAGCGACGGCCGCGTTTTTTTACCAAAAGCCAGGTGCTTGCGTCCAATGCCTTGCCTTAACAAAAAATCTGGAAGTAGTATGTTGCACCGATGGGTGTTCCTAATTCTTGGTATGCTTAATTTCAAAGTTGCGTGCAATACAGTAAAGGGTAGTGATGTTGCACACAACTCCAACAACCCGCTTTGTCCCCATGTCTGACCAGCTGCAGTCATTTGTGTTTCAACGGATTAAAGGTCAAGTACGAGTTTCATCCTAAGTATGGTAGATGACCAACTGAGACTTGCTGGCAAATTATCAAGTACGATATGCAAATAAAAATGGCAGTGGATCAGAAGCTACGCAAGTTTCAATACCGTCATGATCGTGAAAATGAACTGGAACCTAAGAAACTCTTCGTCGATGTTATTCGAGCTAACAAGTGTTTACCTAAAGTGATCAGTGACTGTTAGTTAACCTCAACAGCAAACTCTTTCTCTCAGTTGGTACTCGGTTCATAGATAATGTAATAAGCCCGAAGAACTTGATTTGAAAGTTGGCTTGGTCAGAATCGGCATTTTTCAGTAGCCACCATGGTAAAAGCACGCTTTCATGTACTGTTCCGAGTTCCAGTACACCTCCTCAATTCATCTACCTGTGAATGCAGGCGTTCAAAGACCTGTGTCCATTCTCCTAATATCTAATGTGGACAGTGTAAGAAAAGCGCCTAGATCATGAACCTGCGGTACACCCGAAACAAGTGATCAACACCTTCTGGAACAATCAACAAAATATTATGTTCCCGTGCGCATCAACTGGTTGAGAATGCTGCATATATAGCTGAAACATTGATGAATAACAGAGTGACTGTCCTAATGAAAGGAAGGAGGCCTTTGCTGAGGAGTTATTTATTAGATAAACAATAACTGAACAGTTACAGACTATTGGACAGGAAAGCAAAACTCTCATATGCATCTTGTTCAAAAAAACTTAATATTCATCTTCTCCTCGAACGCGTCTTCCTAAAGTTTCCTGGATATTCGTTAACTGTTGCCCGAGTCCAAGCAAATGCCACAAAGCAACTCCACAAATTCCGCAACAGACCCCCCTTTCAAGAGACGCAAACCGAAGTTAAGACAAAACATACTACTCGCATTCTTCCCCATCAGTAGTATCACCTTTTCACTAGTAGCGTCAAGCGTAAACAAACGCCTTACTCGGCATATATCAGTGAGGTCCCATCAAAATGAGAAGTATGATGAAATCCAGCAGGTTCAAACTTAAAAACTTCAGCGTTTCTTACAGCCAATTAATTATTTTTCTTTTAAATGCGCATTTGTGTAACCTCAGTGAGGATTCACAGTAGATAAAAGCAGTTGCGAAATTTGTGCACCTTAGTATTTGGTGAGTCCAGTTATTTAGCATGCTTGTTTTATTCGGCAGTAAGCTTGTTGTATCCACACTGAGACATTTACACCGACCGCAAATAGTGAAATATACCCACCAAAGCATAAGTTACGCGTGTCCGATTCTTGCGCTATCTTAATCATGGTGAAATCTTTTACTAAACTAGACAATATTATAATCTATTATTAAACAATGTGTAACCCTTTCCATTTAAAATCTTCAATAAAAACCCAACTGGTTCGCAAACGCACACTTCTCTAACGGTACCAAAGTTTGCACTCCGTTTTGGAGAGTAAAAACTTAATTCTTGGGACTGAAAATTCTTTACAATTTAAGCCCATCTTGGTTTGACATAAATTGCAGGGTGACAGAAAGTGAACTCATTCAGTTCATGCTTGAATTCACCCTCTATTTCTCTAGCTTTTGATGTACAGATGAATTAAGTAAAAATTTGTTCAGACTACATTTTTTAGTTTTGACCTACTCCATGAGTGGTATATTTTAATGGGACATTCCACAATGCTAGGAAATACACCTTGCGTCGATAGAGAGTTGTTTGTTACCAACAGCCTTTGGGAAGTCAGTAGTCATTTGATTTGACTCAAAAACGAATCTTTGCCATCTGCACAGATATCCTAGTAATAAAGGAAATGAGTTGTTTGTTCACCGCCACTGTCAGTATTTAATGCTTTTACGGACAAATCAGATTTCTGGTGCGTGACATGGTCATCAGTGAGCTCATTTGGCTTATTCGTACAAAGACCCATTTTCGTGCTATTACTTCGTTTACTCCAGTTATGAAGTACACATGAATAAAGGAAGTCTGTTTCTAGGCCAAAACGGGATGCTTTGGTCGTTTGACCATTCACTGGCGTAGTTGGGTACGTCAGTTGGTTAACACTGAAAGTAAGCCATCAATCTACGCTTTGTGGAAACTGTCACAAAGTCTTTTTCATACCTGGCAATGAAGTAAGCAATTGCCTCTCGTGCCGACGAGAAATGTTGCCCATGTTCTGTGGGTCGTATTTTTTAGGAAATGTAACTTTTAAAATGGAGAAGATACAACTTGTCCGCGTCTGTTTGTGCTCCAGCTTAGTTTATTCGTTGACAACTTACTTTATCTAACGAAACTTCTGCCCAATGGTCGCATGCAATTATACAGATATTTTACGTTCGTGGGATAAAATCCCCCAAAGGAGGCGCAGCCAACTCATTCCGACAGTTTGACCAAATGAGTCCAATATACTCAAATAGCCACCGACGCTCGTTCAGAAAGGATTCTGACTTTTTCCAGCAATTGGGTTATACGTCCAAGGTAACATGTGCCATGACTCAGATTGACGGATGGAGTTAAACTCTAAAAATTGTTTGGCGAGCACCGGTTGTGAAACTTATTACCAAATTGCACAGTATCTCACCACGCCGAACACGTTTGATGATATTCAATAAGAATTTCAGCCCTCCGCTCATTGAGAGTTTCGCGATACGGTTGCATATTTTCAGTAAGGAAGACCAAAATCTGGATTAAAAATTTCTCAGATAAAATGTTTGCATCTCATCGAATTAAAGTAAATGGACACAACCTAATCTAACGTAGTTGGCTTTATGATCCTTTAGCCTGCAAAGTACGCCGTTTAAACTGAAAACACAGTTCTTTCGGATTTCGCACAGAGAAACTGTAGTTTCCACTTTACTCCTTCGAAGATTAGATTCACCATAACATATTTCCGCCTGTCGACCTGACCACTCAAGGCGAAAACTGGTCGATTGGATACTACGTTAAGAACTACTTGGATTTTGAGTCAGCGTCACCGACTGTGTTTCTTTGCCGGCGACCTTGTGACACGTTTCTCTAGACACAGAACTTTGTGGTAATCTAAGCGTATTTCTCAGCTCGTTCCGTATCCACTTAAAGAAGCATCATTTTATTGTGTCTTACCGTTTAATAATCAATGGTCACTTATTTAGTGGATCGCTTTAGTGAGCACAGCCACTCTGTCGTACGGATTTGCTCAGAACAATACAAAAAAGCCCTCATAAGAGATTATGATACAACTCTGTGGCCATTAAAATTAGCGCCATGCAAGCAAAAAAACAACACTTTTGTTGACTTCTTGATTTTGCTCCAGCAGCAAAAAGAACGTCGAATCGTTCTTTTTTTAATCAGTACTACTTCACCTTTTGATGTGCGCAGAATATTTCACTGCTTGTAATAATGAATCGCAATGGATTTTTACTACATTTCTCAGACAGATTAATGTGGAACGAGGAGAAAAACATTCAAGTGTACTATGATGTCCCAGAGTTTACCTGAAAAAAACCAAACTGATACTTTAGAGTATTCGTATAGTTATCAAATTGATTGTGCGCAGTGTGCAACATTTAGTTGGTTGATTATTGGGAGTAAAACAAAACACCATCTAATAACAATTATGTATTGGCATTCTTTTGCAGATAATCAGATTATATATTACCAAATGAAAATTAGAACATTATAGGATCCAAGAGTGACCTCTTGTCTGCCGGTTCGAGCTTTCCCTGGACGGTTTTCCCATGAAAAACAAAACGATTACCAATGTCACGATAAGCTTCAGGGACGGCTGGATAGATCTCTGCACCCCAGGGGTCTTCAAAATTGCGTAATCTAAGTGAAGTCTGAAGGAAATGAGAAGTAGACTCAGTGCAAAGAAATGTGCCAATAAATGCACTTAAAATTTTCATTAGTAGTCACACACTCAAAACGCCGATCAGTCAATAAAAAAAGGGCAACACTTGACACTTCTGAACAGTTAACTCCACTAAGATGTAAAAAACCTGATACGTTTTATTCAAGCAAGTGATAGCCAAAATCTTGTTACTAAATTGCTCAAAAAGTCATGTACAGATGAGTTTTCTCGTAAAACTATCTACCAACATGAGTTATGGCCTTTCCCTGTAAAAATGCTTAAACTAAGTTGGCAGAGAACTCGTGATAGTCCAAAAACTGATATGATCGCTTTGGCTACCATCATTTTTCTAGACAACACCGTCGGTTGTGCAAACATTTTCACTCTACATGTCCAAAGAGGCAAAATGGAAGTGAGTCCTAACGCGTTTTATACTGTTTATCCTATGAAGACGCTCCCACAATTTTTGAACAAGAACTAATAATCCGTCCGATTTAGAATCCCCTTCTGGCTACTTTTGGATTTAGTTAGACTTTTAGATTAATTACCTCCGGAACCAGTACTTTATCTTAAGCTTTGGGATTCATGAAGTCATGAGCGATACGGTAACAAAAATCGCGTTCAATACTTAAGCACAGAAAGTTGAAAGCTAGTCAGGTCTAACGGGAGGTAAGGCCAGTATTACTTATTTGGTCATATAAGTGGTTTAGTTAGTCATTTGTGATAGCTAAAATTCTATTCCATTTTTGTGTTACTGCCTAACCATCCCCGCTTGTATTCCACCATATACCTAATTAATATTGAAGGTTCTCTTTGAAACATTTTTGACTATCCTTCCGTGTTTATGTTACCGGTTTTCCAGTTTCACTGCTTACCAAAGCCAATTTCCCGTTCCTATCAAAGTCTGGTTTTTAGGAGCAAATGTGCATTATCAAAAATAAATTTATATGTATATATACTTACCACCAACACTGGGATGCCAACTAGGACAAGACACAGAGCGACCAAACGGCACGACTTCATACAAAACATGAATTTGCGTTTTTACTGGTTTTCTTCATTCCCCTGTTCGTAAACAAAATCGTGTATATATACTTCCATCAACGAGTACAATATGCAGGAGTAAACAGACATGCCAAACAACTACCCAAGACTGCCAATAGCACTGACCACACTGAACGTACGAACATCGGCTGTTCTACTTTGGAAAGTATGAATAAACCGTCCAATCAGGTGAGGTAGTCGGGATAAAAGCTTCATGGGGTCTCACTCACTTTTCTTTATTCTCACTTTGTCCCTCTAAGTAAAAAGACCTCCTGATCGGGGTTGATTTATACTAAAAAATGGTAATGATCACGGGTCCAAGATTACGTTATCCTCTGTGTAAACAACTGGGATTTCAAATTCCCCACGATTTCCTCTCGACGCTGTATGGGGTATTATTTCAGACTTTTGTATCACTTCCGTCCATTTTTACGGTTGTCCTGTCTATCGGGATGTTTTACTTTTCCTTAGATCCCTGTACAACAATACACTGCGTAGGTCAAGCGAGAAAATTAGATTAATCACGGCCGCTAATTAAAATGTAAGGGTTTCAAATGAGCTTGGGGGAACGCTTGCGATAAAAGATGGCAAAATGATCTGAGATCACATTGTCACACGAGCAGGAAAAAATGTTACCAAAAGGTATCATTTCATGTGTATAAGTTAAGAAGCACATAAAATTGTGTACAGTGAGCAGCAACGAGTATCCTGATGTTTGAAATCTGCCAAGCACAATTCAGTCGTAAATAAATAAGCATGCGAGAAAACCCATTCATCAAGTTCCATAATTCGAACTACTTAAAAATATCTGGAGTGATAACTTAGAAAACCAGTTCCACAGTACCATTTATGCCATGTTCCGCCTCTTTTAATATGTAAACGATTTATTTGTTCACTAGAATTGAGTTGTAAAAACGTAACGAACAAATTTAGCAAACCAAACCGACACCACGTTTCAAAATAAACTTGGCCACTGGCCACTTTATCGATGCGAGGATAGGTGTATTTAGCCTACGGATAATTAGTCAGGGTGCCGATTTTCAGAGCTTTGATTCTCACAGATAAAGCCTGAACTGGGTTGTAGATGCTTCTTGAACCTAGGTATTAGCAGCGGCTCGATTCCTACTTTGCAACCCTGACCGTTATAGTTTATGGTCCACTGATCCATTAAGAGAGGGGACCACGGTCGCTTTAGAGTTTTGCTAAGTTTGACCGAGTGAAATATCTTATCGAAATCAAATTGTCAGAAGTTGGTCAGCAATTAATATAGTGATCCCCTAAAAGTAACCACCCGTGCTACATTCTAAGGTAGGTCCCTATAAGAAGATTCAGCTACATTTTCTAACATTTTATCATTATCGGAAGATCTCCGGCTGAATACTCAATCATACAAGACATCCGCCATATCCCTTGTTTTTCTGTCTTCATTAATCCCATCTGAAATATAATAAAAGTAAGAATTTTAGCAATAAATACGTGATGCCGCAGAAGGCCTAATTGGCAAATTTTTTCACAAGAACCTACTCATTAAATTTAGCAAGGTGAGATTCCTCACGTGCTTCTAAAATCATTCCACAATTGCTTGTCATTCATCGCATCAGCTCGTTTGTGCTTTACAACTGATCTCGCTCACCATAGTCATCATCTAAAGGACGTTAGCTACAATAAACTACTGACTAAAAATTAACGGGCAAACCAGCGTTCGCCTGACGGTCAATTGTCTCAACTCTCTTATCGAACCTGGACCGAAATTAGGAAGAATAACGTTTGCTTTGCACTAACGCACAACAGTGGAATGCAGTGTTCAAAACTGGATAAAACCGGTTTAAACTGTCCAACAACTTAGGGTTTCTACACTCTTGCATTACTAGAATAACCGATTTACATTTAACGTAAAAGGTAATCTTACTGACAACCAGCATAAACTGGAGCCAATGACTTATGACGAAGCATGATCAAACAAACTTCGTGGATTTCCAAAGTGTATGTCATGTCGTAGAGCCTGTTGATGCACCTGCAGGCATAACGGACCCTTAGGTTTATTGGTAGCGTGAAGGGATTTGTAATTTTCCAGTCGAGATATCGTAATGTAACTGAGGCTAATCTGCAACGAGAAACCGAGAAGCGCTATAGAGCTGTTTTTCTCTTCTTGTGAATCATCTAAGACTAGTCTGTACCTCCCAACCGGGAGATTACCAGTTAGAATCTTCCTAGACAGTTGGAAGATGCATGCTGCTCATTATTCCCAGTAAGGTTTGCAGCGTAGTTCATCCTCACTAACAGGACTAAATTGATATGGGGAGCCTCAATGAGATGAGTATCAGAGATAAAACTGGACATCCTGGCTGCACACAGCTGACTAAAAACAGCTTAAAATGTCAGACGTCCGCAGTATATGATACATAAAAAATTGACCTCCGTTGTGGGGCAGCGGGGTCGAACTTCTGAAAATGTTGGAGCACACTAATCCAACCGTACGCTTCGCAAAACAATTCAAAATAATCAATTTAGGATGGGAACCTCTCATCCAGAAAGCATGATTTTGAGGAGGAATCATACCCTCAACCAAAGTACTTTGCCCTTGGTGACTCGCTTTAGAAAGAAGGTGATTGAGGGTGTTTTTCCAATTGCACATATTCATTTTCAATACCTAGTATGATTCTGTCACTACACTTTGACGAGTGGGACATCCAGAAAATACGGGTTATCATAGCGCCCGATTCTAGAATATCATGACAAGCCGGAAATGGAGATAACTACTTAGAGAGCAGTATCACTAAACATAAATAGTTACTTCACTGACTGTCGCCAAATTAACAATGCATTGAACTATTAGCGCATGGCTGCATCCACCATCGTGATCCGTCAGAGATATGGAAGTAGCTGCTACCAGGACAATAGGGAGATAAGGAATCGGAAATAAAAGTCCTGAAACTCATGTCAGTAGCATTGCAGCCTTTGAGTAGTAAGTGTGCTTATGCTCATTGTAGTACCTAAAATAATAGCTTGTAAACAACTGCTTTCATGCTCTTTCATCAGGCCAGTTCAGCTAACAGTTTGGAATTAGGTGTCACGCGACAATTTGCACCAATCCAATAAAGGACACAATGATTGTTACCCAGAGTCTAACCAAACTATCAACGCAAGAGCGCTGGTCACCCCTTCGTATGGTCGCGGCCTACACAAGCCTTGACTACACTACTTGATGGAGTTCACGGATGTTTCCACCGATTCCTGGCCCTAACCGATAGTTGCAGATATATTCCAATATGAAATTATACCACAGTCAATGGCTTCCCCATGTCCTTGAGCTGGTTTGTTTTAAAAGTCTCCGGGATTGTTTTCTTCCAAGTAATTTCGCCAAGTATCCCACACCTGCTTCTATATTTCATCCTTTTAATCCCCCCTTATTTTAGTCGCGGCTGCTTAACTGAACGGTGGTATAGGCCAGTGTTCAAAGATACGGTTTAACAATGAAAGTGATGATAACCGCGGCTGCTTAACTGAACGGTGGTATAGGCCACAAAGAAAAGATACGGTTTAACAATGAAAGTGATGATAACAGTGATAGTGATGATGATGATGATGATGATGATGATGATGATGATGGATGATGATGATGATGATGATGATTACGAGTATTGGTGGGATCACCTGCTGAGCAGGTGTTGATAGACAGCTGAGGTTTGCTGAGTCTGTTGTTAAAAACAGTATTCACTTACAAAGTAGTGTTTTAAAAATTAGCGGATTTCGCGAATGGCGTCGAATTTGGGTTCAGTTAAAACATACCACTGAATAAGACCGCACCTAAGGGCAAAACCATTTGCGGGCTGTCGAAGAGTTTCAAGCAACTTCAACAATAGTGTTTTCGCCATCATCTATTTATTTTGACGACGGTGAGGGGATAATCTGTCTGAATTACACACCTCCTTCAGCTGTTATGAGTGCCCGAGGATTCATCCCATGTCACAATATGAGTCGATGCCCGCCCCTCGGAATATGCGGCTGGTCCGCAAAACGTCAAACCCAGTTGTTATGCAGATAGTTGACTTGATAACTGATGCCATACAAATAGTTTGAGGGACATCAGAGAGTATTTCCATATGCAGCTGTCGTTTGAACGTGACATGGCTTCCACAGATAGCCGTTTGACTAACTAGTTTATATGGACCTTCGGCACAATATCGACTGGAATACGGTTCGCTAGTACCTAACTGCTCATAGTGGTTTTAGGAATGAATTGCCATCCATGAGCCCTTTCTGATCGCCTTAGGACAAACTTCATTCTAAATTTTGTATTCGTTGGTGTGCGTTACAGCATCTGAGCATACGCATTTTCAGGATGGAGTCCATGAGGAACCTAACAGTGCTGAATTCGCTCCACTAGCTTAGGAAAAACAGTGGGTCTAACTGTAAATCTGTAGTCATACTTCCTTTTCTACGTCTCTAGGAAAGAATGTACCAGGGGATCCGTGGAACATATAAGCCCTAAAGAGCATTCTAAATTAAACAACTTGGTGTACCTTCCGTTTTCAAGAGTAATTGGTTTCTTTCCCGAAATAACTCAAATATCCTTTTTCTGGTTTACTGCAGGGCCAATTCGCATAAATAAAGCTTGTAACACGTAAAGTTTTGTTGAGTATTTGAATTTCCAGCGAAGACTAACATAGCAAAGTTTGCAAGTTGGTCTGTTCACCGAGATTGGTTATTGGGCTGCACTTGCCGTGCTCGACATATAGTCTGGCGAACAGACCAAAAACCAAGCAAAGTACCCATATTCTGCAACATCGTATCCAGAGAAAGCACCGGCACCAGTTATCCTTTTCTCCGAGCTGTTGTCTTCAAAGAAGGCAAAAAGAGTTACCTGGGTAATAGTGGATGCTTTCACTGAGACCAACCAAGCTCGACAGGGCCAGGTTGTTGATGCCTTTGTCTTATGCTGCGAGTTTGCTAGTGTGGAGCCCCTTCAATTTAACCCATCCTATTGTATTCGCGATCCGGAG